GCTCAGCTGCCCCATCTGCACACGCACAGCTACTACTCTGTTAGGAAGGAGTAGCTTCCCTGCTGCGGACAGTCAGGCTGGTGGGGAGGAGTTCGGGCGGGTTGGCTGCACACACATGGCTGCACACACATGGATGATGCCCCCCGTGGCGCCGGGTGGCAGAGAGAGATGGCAGGGCAGACGGGGCTGTGGCTCTCCTTCATGCCTGACCTGACGATGCGTGCACACACGATGGGCACAGGTGTCGGGGAACGAGGAGGCAGGCAAGCGGGGCTGTCAGCAGCCTAGGGCATATCTGGCAATTTCCCCCACTGCAATGTTTAACCACAAAGGGAAGAGCAATTAAAGCTAATCGCTCCCACAGCCTGGGGGCCACAAAACACGTACTCAGCACGTTGGCCCAACTCCCTGTGGTCTCACTTGTCTCCCCGTCATCCTGCTTCTCTCCTCCCCAGGTTCAGAGCCCCTGTCCTGGCCACCCCTGCACCCTTCCCTCAATAAGGACCAGCTCTGTGGCTCACTTCCTCCCTCCCCAGCTCCCTGGCTGCATCTCCGTCCCTCTCACACACATTCCCTTCATTCTCTCTCTCTGACTTGGGCTCCATCCTTGGCTGACTCACTCATTCTTTCATTTTCTCCCTCTCCCTTGCTCCCACCCCTCCTCCATCCCTTGGCCATTCTGGTGCCCCAAACCCAGCCATTGCCAGAACCCGGGTTCTAAGGGTAAGCAGCAGAAGTGGCCACCAGCACCCCTACTCCCCTACTCACCAGCTTCAGAGCACCAGGCTCGCTGGCCCTCAGCTCCTGTCTCCCCGTCCTGGAGTCAAAATGCCCCCCTTTTCCCAGTTCCAAAGCGGGGCAACCTGAAGCCCAGGGAGAAGACGCCGGAAGATGAGGGTGGACGCGGGGACAGGCCCCCCACTGCGCGTGATGCTCCCCGGGGAGACTGGAGAGCGGGCGGGGTGGGGGTGGGGGTGGGTGTGTAGCGCAGGGACGCGTGTGACCCGCCGCGCGGGCGTGCAGGAGTCACATGGGTGTGTGTCACCGCGTGTGCGGCGGGTCCCGGGGAGGTGTGTGTGATGGGGTAGGTGA